ACACAGCACTGCTGGGAGGTGATCGACGCTCAGGCCGAACTCGCTCTGCGCTCTGAAGGTTTCTGTGAGATCGACTTGCTCACGCTGGAGATAATCCTGCAGAGAGAAACGCTCAACACCCGCGAGATCGTGGTGTTTCAGGCACTGCTGTGCTGGGCGGCGGCAGAGTGTCGGCGGCAGGGCTTGACAGTGAACCCCAGGAATCAACGCACAGTGCTTGGTAAGGCCCTGTACCTGGTCCGATTCCCTTCCATGACACTGCAGGAGTTTGCAGATGGGGCAGCGCAGTCGGATGTACTGACGCTCAAAGAGGCCCACGATGTCTTTCTGTGGTTCACTGCTACCAACAAACCCAGGCTGGAATTCCCCACTGTGAAGCGGGCGGGGCTACTGCCACAGAGGTGCCACCGCTTCCAATCCTCAGCCTACCGCAGCAACCAGTGGCGCTACAGGGGGCGCTGTGATAGCATCCAGTTTGCCGTGGATCGCAGGATTTTTGTAGCTGGACTTGGTCTGTACGGTTCCAGTGGTGGGAAGGCAGAGTACGTTGTGAGGATTGAATTGAAGAGGCAGGGAACCGTTCTAGCCCAGAATCTCAACAAGTTTCTGTCAGATGGGTCAAGCACCACCTTCCCGGTGTGGTTTGAGCACCCGGTGCAGGTAGAGCAGGACACCTTCTACACGGTCAGTGCCGTCCTGGACGGAAACGAGCTGAGTTACTTTGGCCAGGAGGGGATGACTGAAGTGCAGTGTGAGAAAGTGACCTTCCAGTTTCAGTGCTCATCAGACAGTACCAATGGCACTGGGGTGCAGGGGGGGCAGATCCCAGAGCTCATCTTCTACTGTTGAACTGGAACCTGGACCCAAGGACTCAAGCCAACAGGCAGGAAGTCGGAGCCTGGAGCTCAGATTCAATCAACGGACCTGGCAATTGGAAATTGGCAGCTGATTGAACAATGCCGTGGACCTGAGAGCTGATTGGCTGTCAGGTTTTTAGAAGTGTTTGGTGTATATTAAAGTCTCCTGAATATTTGAGAAAATGAATAAAGGAGGTTGTAGTTTTCTGCTGCTGCCACTAGATGTGGCTATGTGGTCTCACACTGAGGGGGATTTTCAGCTTTTTTTGTGCTGTGGATGATGAATTTTACTTGTTGTGTTCAAGGTCACATGTGTAAAACGGAAATTAAAAATATGAATGCAACAACAAATTATTTCAAGCCTGTATTCAGTAGAAAAGCATTGCAGACAAAAAATATATAGTTGAAACTGATAAATGTGATTGGTGTTTTTTTTGGTGTTTTTTTTTTAGTTACAGTTTTTTTTCTGGATGTCAGCACATGTTGCACATGTGTAAGACTGCATTCTCTGTTTTTCCAGTGTTGTGTGCTTTAAATAAATACAATGAGTAAATAGCTCACCAATGGCGGGAGCATTGATGCAGAGCTCACGAGCCAGCAGCAGGAAGGTCTTTCCCAAGATGTAGACATTTACCTGGACACACAGCATAGAGGTCACACCTGAATGACACCACAGAGTCCACTGAGTAGTACCTGAGGCTTGGTCTTACCTGCAGCAGATCGCTGAGGTCCAGCAGCATGTCTGAGGCTTGTCTAAGGAAAACCAGCTGAAGGTATGGAGATGAAAGGTCAGAATGAAGCCTGTAACCTCTAACTGTGTTTTTATCAAGTTTGTGTTTGATTTAAAATTGTAAATCACTGGTTCCAGGTGTTTCTGATCACCTTAAACAGCAGAACATCTGCAGCACATTGAGGTGATGGACACCTGAATGTACCGCTGATGGATCAGTTCCTGTGACAAACCTACATCCACCTGCAGCTGATGAAAATCCGATGTCTTTCTCCTCTCATAGTTTTAAAAGAGGAGATGAGCTGCACAGCTGAGCTACAGGTGAGGAAACCAGTTCAGTGGTTCACCTGGCTGCATGTAAACCGACTGTAGGCCATCGCGGTTTCAGAGTTCGGGTTTGTCTCGGCAATTTGCACATGCTCAGTGGGTCAGAGTGGTTGCTAGGATACGTGGCGTGCCCTCAGTGCGGCACACAAGGTAGAGGCAGGCAGCGATGACATGCTCTGTCTTGCGGCCCCGGGTCAGGTGTTTGCTGACGACTAGCTTGAAGAAGTTGAAGGCGGTGTCGAGGCAGTGCTGGTTGAGCTGCAACTGACTGCCCAGCTGCTGGATCTGACGCTTACCTGCACACACACAGGCTCGTTACACCTGTGGCTCACCTGGACACCCTTCCCCCAAACAGTCAAAGGACTCACCATTCTGAAGTGTCTGGGCTCGCGACTCTTTACCAACGCTGGTGTGGAAACCAGAACCAAGAAGTGGCGCTTTAACGGGACCTGATGGGCAGACAGAAAGACAGCTGTTCAGAGGACTTTGACCAAAGGTCACTGTAGTTGCTGCAGAGGATTTTGGGTAAAGACAGGTTAGTGTTAGACACTCATCACAGGCATGAAGTCAGAGTTGAGTGTTCATTCTAGGGTGGAATGATTGTATAGCAAACATGTTTACTGACTTTAAAAATTCAATTCAATTGTATTTATATAACGCAAAATCACAACAACAGTCGGCTCAAGGCACTTTATATTGTAAGGCAGACCCTACAATAATACATACAGAGAAAAAACCAACAATCATATAACCCCCTATGAGTGAGCACTTTGGTGACAGTGGGAATGAAAAACTCCCTTTCAACAGGAAGAAACCTCCGGCAGAACCAGGCTCAGGGAGGGGTGGCCATCTGCCGTGACCACTTGGGGTGAGAGAAGGAAGACAGGATAAAAGACATGCTATGGAAGAGAGACAGAGATTAATAACAAGTATGCTTCGGTGCAGAGAGGTCTATTAACACATAGTGACTGAAGAATACTCAATGCATCATGGGGTGATGGACATCAATTAATTACCACGAGGGGAATGCTCAGGTGGACATGTTTCTGATTCTGGATGAGAAGCTTTGAGACACGGCGACTTGTTTCTCATGATGTTTTCTTCTAAAACGTGGCACTAATTAAATTACCTGAACTGGTCAGAGAGACGTCCGAAGCCTGCTTGAGGTGTATCTGTGAAACCTGGATGGACTTCAGCAAACTCACATGGTCTCTGAAACTTGCTGATGCTGCGGATTGATAACCAGCCCTTCCTGTTTCACCCTAAACCACCCCAACCTGCCTCTGTTGGCGTCTCACCATCAGCAGACACAAACTGTCCCACGGCGGATGACACGCCTCCGCTTCCCTCCACAAACTGGACCTCGGACACGATGATGTTGTCCTCCAGAACCGAACCACAGCTGGTGCACACGGCGCTGCCACGAGCCTGGTCCACGTCAATGTCAGACCCCCCGCAGGTCCTGCACACCCGGGAGCTCATGGTGGAGGTCAGAGGTCAGCAGTCCCTGAGGTGGAGAGACCGGTTAAATATTAAACTTTCACATGACAAGGTCAGCACAGGAAACAAGTCACTGTCATGTGTAGGATAGCTCCACTGTACACTCACTGATGATGACTCATACAACATTTCAGCCAGTCATATGTCTTCATCTCCTCCTATGTCACACCAACCCTCTGCATGTCCTCCTTCACTACATGGATGACCCTCTACCACTACCTCTGCTGCTCCATGTTCACCTTCCTACTTGTCTCCCTCTCATTCACACTCATGTATTCTATCTTGCTTCTACTCTTTCATACCTCCACCTTTCCAGGCTCTCCTCCACCTGCTCCCTAATCTCACCTTAGGTCACAGTGTCATCTGCAGACATTATCATCCACAGTGACCACAGCCTGACCTCATCTCTCAGTGTGTCCATTACTACTGCAAACAAGAAAGAGCTCAGAGCAGATCCCTGATTCACTTTCACCCCCCACCTTCATCCACCTGTGACTGCAGACTGACTGTAGGGTGGCTGTAGCTCAGGTGGCAGAGCAGGTCAGCCACTAATCAGAAGGTCGGTGGTTCGATCCCAGGCTGCCTCCTGGCTACGTGCCAAATATCCTTGGGCAAGATACTAACCCCATGTTTGCCTACTAGTGGTGGCCCGGTGACGCCTGTGTCCGGCAGCCTCGCCTCTGTCAGTGCGCCCCAGGGCAGCTGTGGCTACAATGTAGCTTGCCATCCCCAGTGTGTAAATGAATGGGTGAATGACTGAATGTAGTGTAAAGCGCTTTGGGGTCCTTAAGGACTAGAAAAGCGCTATACAAATGCAGGCCATTTACCCTTTGGCTTGCCTCCTTATGCAACACATGGAAGAGAACATGGAAGCTGTGAGTTAAGAAGACTCTGCTTAATTTTTGATAGATTGCCGTAAATGGAAAGGGATATTTCCTCACTTGAATGCATGGTTGTGTTACACCAGAGCCCTTTATTGTTAATTTTGAAGAAATTGAAACACTAAGATGGTAAGTTGCTGTTATCCTGATGTTAAAATCAAGATGGCTGTTCTCTCTAAGTTGCCTACTGGGCAAACGGGTCAGCCGATCCGATGCAGTCACTATGGGTCTGCACTACATTCTGCATCACCTCGACCAACCTGAGACACACGCCAGATACTGTTCATGGGTTTCAGTTTGGCCTTCAACACCATCATCCCAGACATGTTCCACCAGAAGCTCACCCACCTCCACCTGCCAGTGGATCACCAGCTTCCTGATGCCCAGACCAGCACCGGCCTGTCACCATATCAGCAGCAGGTGTTTGCAAGTGAACTCAGACTCCCGCTGAGCTGCTCAATGGCGTTAGCAGGAAAATGTCGGTTTGTGATTTATGTCATAAAAACAAAGGTTCAAGTCCAGTCAGAGTTTTTTTTTCTCTAACTTTATTTAAATATTTTTAATCAGCATCGGATGCTGCACCTGGAACATGTAAACAAATATAATCGGCTAACCTGAAACACCGGGACCGGGGAGCTCCTCTACCAGAGATCTGGATCCACTCACCGGGAGAACTTCAGAGTCTGGTCCGTTAGAAACTGTGTTCCGTCCCAGAACACATCCGGTCACCTTATTGGCTGCTAATAACGGTTATTAATCAGTTATTGATCACTGACTGTTTTCAGATCGCAGTTTGTTTTCTTCCTGTGACGCGCTGGAGTGACGTTACTCAATAGGCACGGGTCATGAGTTGGTGACGTGGGTTTGGAAAGGAAAGCATTTGAATCCTAATAATTAAACCCTGAATGAATGTAACTGTTATCATGTCACCAATACGTTATATTTTCTGGATTCGACTCAATGAAACAAACCCGGTTCGACTTCTTTTGACCCAGAAATAACCCTGCTCCTCCCCCCAGACTGTGTTGAACGGTACCACCCGGCGCCGCCTGATGACGTTTCTCGTTCGGCGGGTTATTTTCGATGCAGTGGCGCTTTTGATGTAAACAAACACACAGTCGGACGGACGGAGGTCAGCAGCGGGATGAACTGCGACCAACTATTGCTCCACCCGCGGGTCAGCGCTGCCCTAAAGAGAGGTAACAGCATCGAGCTCATCTGATGTTATTAATCTGCAGTTATTCAAACTATTCTGGATTTAACAGGGAGCCAGTGAGGGGAAGCCAATATAGGAGAAATATGGTCTCTCTGTTAGTGATGGGTCGT